CGAAGCAACATTTGAGTTGAACATTGTGTCCAATGCCTTTTGTTCGCGACGAAACGACATTTTTTTGCTGATCGATTATGGTTCATTAGCGAAGTATTAATACTGAGCAAAGAAAATAATGTAAAAAAAGTAAAAAGAAAAAAACATTATAGTATCGAGCATTGTTGTGGATCCAGCCGTACCTTCTACGCCACTGTGATTCTCTGGCGAAATGCTCCGAAACTACCGACTATTGCGGCTGAAGCCAAATCGCAAATGGTGATTGCTGTTGGAAAAAGAATTTCTCAGGAATAATGTTCTAAAATTTTTGAAAAAGGCAATTCGGGAAGAAAATTTTTTATTATTTCCGACGTGGTGATTAATTCAGTGAAAACATTCGTTTTATATCAAGTAGATTTGAAATGGATTAAACTGAAAATCTCTCTTCCATTGCTGAATGTGCATCAAGAAAAAACTATTTCATTGGCTTTTAAAAATAATGTACCGAAATTTTTAGAAATTTCAATCAATGCTTTCGTTAAAGCTTAACAATAACTTAACGTTACTACTTGTTAACGAATAATGCTTCATTAATCAGCATCAATAGGGCAAGCAATTTACATTTCTTTCAAATAATAATGGTTGAATTAAGGTAGAGAGAAATTTTTTGTAGGCGTTCAAGTAATATTGATAATCCTTGGTAATCTTTTTATTGCCAAAATGAGCTATAAGATGTCCAGAGGTTAGTGTGGCTAAGTGGTTTTTTGAACTACCAGTTCAAACACCATGGTTCAGACTCGATTCTATCACTCGACAAGAGTAACCAGTAACAATCAAATTTGAGTGAGGATAAATCGGTATAGTTCGACTTTCAAATGAATCTCTAAAAGTATTTCATCCTAAACCAAATCAGAAATGGTAAGTACTCTAGAAAAAACAGAATTTATCTTTCACGAACTTGTTTTTCAGTGAATGTTTTTTTGCAGATTAAAGGAAGTTTTTTCGGGGCTTATGTCTGTTGATGATCACTATCGCTAAATTCTATTTTTCAAATCGCTCTTGTAAACCTCTAGACTTTTCATTTCGTCCATGATTTTCCGTAAATTTAATCTTTTCGACACATTCTCGCATTATTACGAATTTATCCTTTTTGCTATCATATTTTCTGTGATAAAGGATGTCATGGACATAATTGAAACATGGAATTCACTGCCAAATTAAAGAGAATTTTATAAGCACGAAAATGAAAATGAAAAATTGCATTTGATATTTATCTAATTATCTAAAATAAAAAATAAATTCAAGATTCAATTGATAAAGAATTTATCAATTTATTACAATAATTATATGAATGGGTGCTAACCGTTGAAGAGTTCTTTTTCGTTCATTCATGTTGCAAAAAAATAAGAATCGAAATTTCAGGTTGCTCCGATTATTTTTATATATTTTATTATTTATATTATTTATTATATCCCGATTATATTATTTTTTTATATATTTTATTTCTCAGATATTAAAATTACTTCTTAAATTATTATTAAAACAAATAAAACAACAAGTTTTAAGATTTTCAATTTTAATTGAAAATTATAATTCTACTATAATTATAATAATAATACTTTTTTTTATTGCTCTTCACAATTTTTTTCTAAGACTATAAAATTAATGCAAAAATTCCATTTATATAGGTGCGATTTAATGAAAAATTTTCCCATTTTGTCTTCTGGCCAGAAATGAAATGAACCAATTTCCCCCTGTGGTTCAAAGCTTATTATATTTCTGCTGCATTTCAAAAAGTTTTCGCGAAACGTTTTCGACTGTATGGACATCATCGATATGCTCTCTTCTTTCTTCATCTGTGTCCTTTCTCATCTCCTATCCGCACAGATTTTCACACAAGTTATGACAATTTATGATCCCGCACTTTTGAACTAATTGTTAAGCCTATATTTTTTTTCTACAGAATTCTGGTAGAACTACAGTTTTGACTATTAGGATGAAACATAGACATTTTAGATAGAAATCCATTAAGGAAGAGAAATACAAATTATTTCCACAAATTATTAAAAAAAAATTTATAAATTTATGTTTCTATTTTTTTGATTAACTTGTTTTATATACCAGTATCGGCCGGAATTCCCGGCAATTCTGTCGTTTCCTTTCAGGTCTGTAAACTCTTCTTCATCTGTAGACTATAGATTTACCTGATAACTGATAACCACTAATATTCACTTAGCCAACAAGTGCCAGAACTCCCTACATTTAATGCCACAATTTTAAACTTTTTTTTGAAATAAAAATTAAAATGAAGAATAATGAATATTAATCTTTTGCCTTTTAACAACTATAATATTTCAGATTGCTTTATCCTGTCGAATTTATATGAAAGAATATAGAAGACTTTTCAAATCAAACATCATTGTTCCCTTAATTTTCATTCTTTTTCTCTTTCTCTACCCTTACCTTTTTCCTTTTTCCTCTCCCTAATTCTTCCCATTCCTCTTTTCCTCCAATTGTAATGATACGATTCAAATTTAATAAAATGGTATTTAACGCGTGATGCACGGACTATATGGTCAATCCAGACACGATCCAGAACATTTCCTAGATTTTTTGATGACAGGCTGATGGAGAAGAATCGAACCTGTGACACTTGCGCCAAGACGAAAAAATATATCGCCATTTTACGACGAACGATTTGCAATAAACATCGCTCACATCTCCGATTCTGTAACTTCGTTTCGCCTAGAAGCTCGTTTTCGTGGATATTTGCACACCAATCAGCACGAAAGCGAACAGTACCATAGACTTTTACCAAGATTTAAGTAACCCCTCCATTATATATACAATACAAGAAAAACCTCTTAACCATCAAAACCCCTCAAAATCGACCGTATTATGAGGTAATATAAATTTAAATCTAATCTGCAAATTGATAAAATACGTACTGCATTGGCAAATTGCCAGAAAAATTATGCTGCATGCTTTCTTCATCTATTTCGTGGTCAGATTGCGTCACCAACCGATTTAATGGGAATTTTTAAAGCCTTAATGGGAAATATGAGGTACATATTTCTTACAAAGTTTTAATTTCGCCAGATATAAATGAACTGCCAAAAATTTCATGGTGGTTTCAAAGCGAACTCGGCAATAAAATTGCTCTTTAATTTGCTTTAATTGTAGTAAAAAGTGGAAATTTTTTCTCCTCGACAATTTTCCGCCGGTGATTGAGTGTCGCTTTGCGTGAGATAACCGGGGACTCATTGTGTAACTCAAGAATTTATTTTTTTCGCTAGCCATCTTTCTAAACAAGTCTTTCCGAAGTCTTCAAGAATTTTTTAAGATTGTTACCACATTTGCTGAGGCTGACAAATTCTTTTTAAAGGGTTATAACCGGGATTTTATTTGCTTATAAACGAGTACCAAGCGGTGCCAGTGCTGTAGCCATGTGCTTGGACCTACAACGGACGTATACTCAGCGGGAGTTATTGTTATTACTATTATTATTCATTTAACATTTCTCCTATTTTACTTATTTTCGCTGATCACCATTTGAATCGAGCCACTCAAATGAATTATTTGTTTATGTTAAATAACATGTTTTAGGTAAAATGAGATCAGTAAAACATGGAAGACGACGACGAATGCGTAAACAAATTAACAGTAAAAATTTAATTTTGGCGAAAAAAAAGGCTGCAAAGCGAAGACAAAGTTTAAATAAAACTTTTTGGTTTGTTCTTTATGCCGTTTCTCCTAAAACAATTCTTAAGAATTTTCATCGAATTTAATTAGCAAATATTTTAAACGTGGAAATTTGTATTAGTTTTAGAAAATTTTATGATTGTTTAGTTTGTTAAATTTATTTTCTTATGCAAATTTTTAATGAATCTATCAATTAATTTTATTAAATATTTATTTACCGTTGAATCGTTCTTTGCTGAAAATGTGATTTTCAGCAAAAAAAGAGAACAAATTTAGTTAAGTTTTCAATATTCAGGTGGATTTGGATAACCTAGCATTTATATCAAATTTAGCTTATAATTTGTAGTGCTATATAGTGTTGAGGTGATGTGGTGTGAATCTCAAATTTAGATAGATTGTTAAAACTTCGATAATATGAAGTGCATAATAGGATAATAGTAAAAACTTAAAATTGCAAAAATTTTAGTAACAAGTAAGATGATGTATAAAAACTGTAATCTAGTTTTTTTTCGGCTTGTTTATTTTAATTCACAAATTTTTCACGAATTTAAGTTGGGAATTTGGCAAAAAATGGGATAAGAAAAAAACGCTAAAACAAAATATGAAATCGATTGGCTTAGCTTACGACGTTAATAAAAGCATAAAATTGGTTAGTTCTCATTTAATTTTTTTAAGAATCATAAATTTAAAAAATTCGTTAAAGTTGCATTAGTTTCTTCAAAAAAAATACATTGTTACTGTTAGGTATAGAAAGTCTCTCATGATTTTGGTAAATAGTAAATAAGTGAATAGATCTCACAATTTTTGATTAAACTAGCTCCACTGACTGTTAGTACTATTAGAAATTTTCGTCAAGGAGTCATTTGTAATAGAAGTCCAGGTCGCCAACACCGGCCGAAACTAGTAGTTTTCATGCATAGTGTGGTGATTATTTTAATTCTTGATAATTTTTGATAAATATTTGAAAATAATGCGAAAAAAGCCAGAAATAAATGAAGTATCGGCGCCATCTTTTTTGCAATAATTTTTTTAATCTTTAAATGTATTCTTGCCATATATGATTTGAAGGTTTAGAATAATTTGAAGGTTTTTTTTGATCTACGCTTAATTTTATTTATTCTTAATTTAAAATAGTTTTATATTCCATACTTTATATTCATACAGTCATATAGCTTTGTAAGGATTATTATTCAAGAACGTGCAATTTAGTTTCATTTAAATCAGATTTTTTCGTCTATGGTGCTGTAATTTTTAATTTACGTTAATTTTATTCTTTATATGATCTTCAATCTTAACAGGATAAGTTTTAGCCAAACAGAATGGAATCGATAAATGTTGATTTAAAAGAAAAACGAATGAATGCAAATGAAGAATCTGGCAAATCGAGGCAGTCAAGCTTAGTAAGTCGAATTTCTTAGTATATTTTCATAAAAAATGCAGAATTTATTTGTTTTTTCCATAAATGTTTTGACTAATTTTAGAGTCATCCTTCCATAGATTTAAATCTATGATTCCAGTGGCTAAATCATTTTATAGTTTTAAATCTATGATTCCAGTGGCTAATCTGTCCATATTAACTTTCAGTATTTTAATTTTTCACGTGAAACCCACCAGCTCATTTTCATAAAAAAAAGCTCACTTAAATAAAACTTTTTGCTATCATGTTTGACTATCGTTATCGCTTCCCAGAAGAGATTATCTTATACATTACTATATGTTTTTAAGGCAAGGTAAATAAGGAGTTGCTAAGTAGTTTCGGTGCAGATTAATTTCGGTACGTTTAGGACGAATGCGTTGAAAGGGCTGCAGATATATTGAAAGATCTTGAAGATGCAAAACAATCTGGAAAGACTAAATATCCTTTTAAATTTAAGAAATGTGTGCTTAAGGCGGGTGATATTGGTCGATGCATTTATATGATGGAAAAGTACGCCACCGATTACAAGGTTAACAAATTTACTTTAGGAATTTTGAAACCACCTAGCACCTCAGATAAGGCAAATTAATTTTCAGATAGCGCTTGTGGACTTTGTGATTCATACTGGTTATTTCTAATTTTCGTGATTCCTTGAAATAATATCGTTTATTTTTATTATACTATTCCAAATATTGCAATTTTTTATTCTACTGATTAATTTTTGATTTATTTTATTGTCCATATTATAGGCTATGAGTCTGGATCCTCGAAATGCATTTATGGATTCTGAATCTACATTGGCTAGAAAAATACGAATATTCAAGGAAACAAATGAATATCAACTTTATCTTATGAAGAAAGGTGAAACTTAATTGCGATTGCTCTGTTTTTTTTTCGTATGGAATTTTTATATTTTATATTTCAGCCGTTTTATCACTGTTTCATGATATTGTCTTTTCATTCATCTCAAATATTGTCGCTGGTTTTTTACCTCTTTCTTTATTATGAAGATTTCAATTTCAATTTGATTTTTTGCCTCACCATTTTCGCATTTTTTTACAGATTCGAATTTCAAATGAATACCAAGCAGGCTTGCATTTTTTTCCTAGCATTAAACAAAAATTTTACAAGATACTCTTTAATCTCATGCAAAATGTGTAGGTAATTTATTTGCTATCATCAAAGAATTATCAAATGGGTTTTTAAACCGGTTAATGTCAAGCGTTATTTGATCACCGAAATCTCGATATTTGTCTTATTACAAAAAATTTCCGGCAATTTTATTGCTTTTAATGGTACTGATGTTTATTATGCTAATGACACTTGTCGCAATGACTTAGCCAATCCAAGGAATCATTGTGAATTCATAGACTCATCTTTATTCATTTGTTGATCATGATGGATTAGCGAATTCGCTTTGGTTATTATTTTGCCATTATATCGAATTGCATCCTCTGAATCATTTATTTGATTATCTCGATTCTGTTAATAACCTTGAATTTTGAAAATAAATTTTTGAAAATAAATTTGCATTTTTGTCCTATTTTGGCTCTAACTCATTTATGCAATTTTCAGTTTGAGATTAGAAACAAAAAACAAAAGATCGCGGTTTCAGCGAAAAGTATTAATAAAAATGTCAAAAATTGTTGCTATCCGTTGGTTTTTTGTAGGCGTGCATCGCATTGTGTGGTGGTGGATTTTACCTATAGAATATGAATTGTTTTCCGAATGGATAGTTTTGACTGGATTATACTATGCGAACGTTTGGTTATAAGCGAACCAGCTCAGTGGCAAGATAATTGCCACAGAGAATCGAGGATTGGGTTCGAATTCATCGACTTCTTGTCTGGCAGCAGTGTAGATGTAGCTCAACGGAATTCCTTGTTCAAGCAGAATATATTGCAACATTATACATTTACAGATCTGAAACATATTTGGAATTTGCGATGGAACTGGAATGAGCTTCAACTAATGTATATTTTTGAGAAAATCACGTTGAATCTCACTGAGATTAACATTACTGTGAATGAAGGATTTGAATTTTGCATAATCATTGCAAAATAAACCATTACTCCACTGCACCGCTACATACAAAGAGGATAAAGTGGATTTAATATGAAATTTTTCACTCAATTTTCTCTCGAATTTTATCATTTTCGCGTTTTGCTAACTAATTTAATTTTTACCTAACTTTTTCCAAAGATTCACTTGATTCGCATTTTTTAAATTAAGCGATAAATTTCAACTTCCCCTAATCCTCTTTGGTTGTTTTATGCGATCACCCACCACTTCTCGTCATTTTATTAAATTTTTTGTTAAAAAAGCGCAACAACAAATTTTTTGCTGTCCTAATGGAAATCAATGTTTCGAAGTGTTGCTTGCAGCTGGGATGGATTTTTTTCCACTATAATGGTCCTATTTTCTTTCGTTCGACATTGAAATCGCCATACGATGGTTATAATTTAGTTTTTTTTTGTTCTACCGGAAACAAATATATTTTTTCCAAGCTTGTCGACGATTTTACATTCCATTTTTTCTTAGCGTTTCTTCTACAAACATTTATTTACACAGATGTTTCATTTCCGTGTAATTCGATTGCAATAATCGTTTGTTATTCTTTACTTCTTATTTTTTAGATTTACTATTCCTCGTTCAGCAAAGTTTTTAATTCATTATGCACTACACATTTATCAAAATTATACTATAACGTTTACGCAACACGTCAGTTTTTCATCATCTTCGCATGCTATTTTTTAAGCAAAATTTATTGAGAAAGCCCGCTCACTATTTTTATTCTAAAAATTTTTTAGCGGTAAATAATTGGTTTTTGTGTCAAGCATAAGTGTGACCGACTGAAGATAGCACTTGTGATGGAGTGTGGGAAAATTCACAGGTTCATTAACCTAATTTGAGGATACGAAGTTGGTGATTGATTACCCATTATGCTGATTATTCCTTTTGATGAATTGATGAAAAATCTCCCCAAATTAACGCTTTTATGAAAATTTCTTGAAACCGCATCTTCAAGCATTTTTATCCACTAATTATTAAATAATTGGAAAAATATTGAGGTGATTGCAAATATGCTCAAGCAGATAGGAAAAAAACGATAAACATTGAAAGGATTATGTTCGGCATGTCCTGTATTTAAAAAAATTTTGTTGACTTTTTTGGAAATTCGATGAAATTTGGAGTATTTGCATTGAATTATGATAGGTTGTCGGTATGTAATACAAAAATCTTTAAAAAGCAAATCTTCCTCAAACAGTAAACAAAATGAAAATTCTCAAAGCTCTTCTGCTGTTTCTTGATTATAAGTAAATTAAAAAGAAGTCGCTGTGAAAAAAAACTTTATACCATCGCATAAATATATCGAAATAAATTGAAGTTATTTTTTAAAATAAATACGAAAAGGAGTAAATGGAAGTTTATTTCATCAGTTAAAAAGTAGAAAAAGTTTTAAGTGAAGATCAGCCGCTGGTTATTTGCATAATCACCACTACAAACTGTCTCGATTCCCCTTCTTCGCTAGTCTTGGCTTCAAACCCATTTTCATCCCAATCATCCCGGCGCAGTATGTACGAATCGTTATTGACAAGAATACAAACATTCCCCACCGTTGCACAATAATTTAACCCACTCAGCCAAATTTTTGAATAATAACTAAAATGAAACTTTCAGTTAAAATTAACGAGAAGTGGTGCCAATTATTTTACTCATCTCATCCATGACACAATAAATCTACAAACACAAATTCTTTTTAAGCAGTTCACACCAGTAGTAGGCAATATTTTTACATAATTTTCATGAATGCTTAGAAAAATCGAAAAAACTACTTAATCGTAGATATATTGTGGGATGTATTGTTTTTATGAAAAAAAACAGTAATTTATCAATAATTATGTAGCATTAAAAAAAACAACTGATCCAGAAGGTCACCGGAAATACAAATATATTAAAATATGGTCTTACCTGCTAATCGCTTCGGTGAAAATCACACTCTACAATTAACCATTCCCAGTTCAACTAGGTCCCATCAAAAAATAAGATTCTACGAAACTGTCAATGAAAAAGATGAGATAAAGAAATCTTATGATGGCGACTCACCTTTATCTTCAAGTATTTCCTCTGGCGAAAGGATTTCTTCTTAATAATCAGTAAGTATGTGCTTTATGCTCACCACTTCTTGTTTTAGTGCGATGAGAAAAAGTGACAAATGGGTTACATAGCAATAGAAGTATAAAAAGGTCGCACGCACCATCAGCATTTTTTATTGGCTGATTACTTCAGCAGGACGCAGTGTCAAACCTTAATGTTTGGCATAACCTGAATAGCAACTGTTCTTCTATCGCACCTAATCGTCGGAGGAAAAAACCAAACCAGGATTGGTGAGTCGTAAAGAAACTTTTGGAATGAAAATTTAAACCGACATATTAAATTACATTATATTAATAAAATTATTTCTTTTGGGAAACAGTTGGGAAGAAAAACTAGAAAAAAATTTTTAAAATTAAAAACCAGGAAATTATTTCTTATATTTTGCATAGGAGTCAGTAAAGTTTCCTCTATTTTTAAATTTATAACATATTTGTTATAAAATGTATTAGTATAAATATTTTGCGATTTTGACATCAAACCATCAAATGTTTCGAAGCAACTTTTTGACGATGTTTTTTGGTATTTCTTTAAATAATTCGAACAGAGAATAAAGAAACCAAAAGGATTTATTCCAGTGGCCTCCTTTACGATTATTTTTGATTGTGTCGAATTAAATTCGATCAACAAGAAAAGCGAAATGTTTCCGAAGCACAAATAAAATCCTAACAAGTATGCTCGTATAAAACGCATCGATAGCACTGTCGGCATGCTTTGACTGAATAATCATTCCCAAGCGAATTTTTTATAATGTGTAAAGTTCGAGGATCCCCACAGCGCTGCAGGCTTTTATTTTTTCAAGAAATAACACCAGAAATAACACCATAACTTATAGAATATAACAGAAAAATGCAGTACAAGCATTTCAGTTTGCGTGCTAAACAGGACAACTTGGCATAATTCTAAAAAATTTAAATGATTCATCAGCATAAATCCCCCTCATAGGTCCCTAATTTAAATTATTCATACATACTCGAACATGAGTCAAAATTCTTTGTTTTTTGTTCGGAAGCCAAAAAGAAAGGCAGGTTTTTTAAATTACCATTGTTCTCCTTGTTACGCTAACTATTCAATATGAATGAAGTAACGGCATTCAAGTCATTTAAACGATATAATTTGTTTCCTACCACACCTGCCTCGTAAAAAAGTTCAATGCACTTACTTCGATACAATACGATTTTGGTAGGTGATCATTTCTTTTTATCGACCAACAACACATTATCTGATTTTGTAACGCAGCTTGCCAAAATATATGAAAACATATTACGAAAATACGAACTTTTTCAGAAGTGTTCAGTCTACAGCAACTTTGAAAAAAAAATTTTTTTCCGATTCTCTACCCTGAGATAATTAATCTCCACCACAATTTTCTTTCATTTTTCACTACACCTCTCGGATTGTTTAATGTCACCATCAGACTTGGAAGCCCTTACCTCCAATGTTTTTTTAATTATAAAATCGTTATAAGCAACTTTTTAATGAAATCAATGTCCTATCCTTTGAACCAGTTTTGAAAACCATGAATTCTCCGCACAAAATAATTAAAACGCTCAGCCAAGGATCAAGAAATGCTGGATAACAATAAACTATTGGTACTGACCACTTCTGTCTAGGTTCATACCATCTTTTGCAAACGAATAAGATGAAATCATTCTTGCCAAAGAATTACTTGTTGGCAGAAGATCGAATAACAAAGGTAAAACAAATGCACATGACGTAATTTTATAAATAAATATTCACAGACCACAACACGGATACGTACCAATTAAAATGCTTCGACGAAAAAATGGAAAAAAATGAAGAAAAAACAATTACCAGCATCCGTGATATTTACACATATAACCCAGAAATAAGTAAAAAAAAAAGAAAATTAGGCAGAATCCCAAAAAGTGATTTAAACAAGAAAAGGCTACGCAATTCATTAATTATCAATTTGCAATAAATATGCAAATTTGATTAAATTTTTCCAGGTCACAAAATTATATTTAAAAAAATATAAAAACTTATTGAGAGGCGATAATAAAGGATTTAGAGAAATGTGTAGGACAAAACTATGAAAAAAACATTTCCACAGATTTTGAACAAAAAAAACTTGCTAAATTATAAAAATTCCTTGAACTATAAATTTTCGTTAAATTTTTTTTCTACCTTAAAAATAACAATATTTTGCCAATAATAAATACAAAGAAAACAAATATTCTAGAGCGGGTTTTGCAGTTAAAAATTCCAATAACATCTTTCTGCGATTTATCCTTCCTCTCTGGTTTTTTAAAATAATTTCACTTTGTCTGGCGCATATTTATTATTAGCGATATTATTGTCGACGCCATTTCTTTGAAAAAAATTAACGGCACTACTGCTTGAAACTATGCAAAATTGCAATAATAAGCCAACTATGAACTGCACGTATTCTTTTCCAACCATTGTTTCCGAATCCATGATATTGAATCGTTTTATAATAAACGATATAGCAAAACGGGAAGCGCGTGGGAAACACTTTCTTTAAATGTTTGTTTTAGTTACTTTCATCTATCCACTAGCAATAATTGATGCTTTATAAGAAAAGAAAACCTTAATAAAAATTTGTCATTAAATTTTTATTTACACAAAACCGTAACATTAATCAGTAACTAAACATTCTATTTTTTTGCACTAATTAATTTAGCACAAATTTGAGTATAAAGTATTTTTTACAAGCCAATATATCCGAGACGATAATCGCTCATTATTTCTGATTAAGCTATTATGGTCACAAATTTTTGTTAGAGATCCATTTGGCGATAGCTTTAACAGGATAGTTTACACCTGTCAGAGTTAGAGAATCAAACTTCAGATGCTCGATGCAGATTGAAGCAGTCACTTAACCATCCCTACCTAAGACCACCTAGAAATTCAATAACAAACCTAGTGAGTTTGAACAATTCCACAAATCTCTATTCATTATTAATCGTTTAATAATTAAAATTAATCGTTTGTTATCTATTATTATTGATGTTATTAAAATCAGAAGAAAATCGTAATGAAAGTAAACTTTTGAAAAAGACATTAAGGGAAGTTAGGCGCTTCCAGTCTGGCTTCATCGAGTAACATAAACATTTTGCAGAATATAAAAACTTTGAATTTTATTATAGATTAGTTTGGAGATCGGCAATATCATCCCTGTTGGCACTATCTCGCCTTTCTGACCCAATACACATGCTCTCCGAAACTTGCTCCTCCTGAGCGAAATCTGCAAGCGTTGTATCTTCAATAGTTGTATAGCCAACATCTTTGGATGAGTAACAATCAATTTCTTCATACAAGTTACCACTTTCTAGAGTTGACAATAGCGCAAAATTATTCGAAGCATTTTTGCCTGATATATGCAACGACTGTCTCTGAATAAAAATGGTTTTTTAAATTAAAACAAAAATTTTCTGAGTCTGATACAATTTGAGGATATCAAGTCCTTTGAAATCGATCTAATAATAGGTCGAGATCTCTTATCCTTGATAAGCAGGAATATCAATTAAAGAATCAAGTCACAAAAATCTTTTCGGAAACCAAACAATACACTAAAAAGTATTCCCACATCGTCGTGGAACCAAGTAATTAATTTATATTTATTTAGTAATTTTATTATTTAATATTTTTTAATAGGAATTCAATGATTGTTTACTGTGTTTGGTGTGGGGCTTATTAACATTGTAGGTCTTGCGGTCACTTTTCGATTGCTAGGCTCAGTACCGTAGCGTTGATTGTTCTCTTCATTAGCTTCTGGCTTTTTCTGATTTTCGACAGTCTAAAAAAGAATTATAGACATTTCATAAGCTAAATATGGTCATGGAAAGTTGAAATCACCTTTTGATGGTAATCACGTTCAAAGTAATTCATATCCGAGTAACTGCAGCAGATTGAACTACTGGTCTGCTGAACGGAATATCGAGCTAATTTTCTTGAATTCATATCATTTTGAGTAATGGCTTCAGTATCTCTTTTCGAGTTTACGAATCGTTTGCACCACAAAAAGACCAATATTGCAAACAAGAACAACACAGTACAAATAGACAATAAAAAAATTAAGGCCCCTTGAGATCGTAAATTAGATACAGTCGGTTCCTTAATAAAGTTTAATTAAGAAACGAAAATGAGGTGCAGTATTAGCGAACGGCAAGCCGCATCAAAAATGAAATCATATGAGGTCAGCAATTACTTTTTTCTTTGAAATTAATTTCTTTATGTGAATTGTAAAGCCTTTCCTTTCAGACAAGTAGAAATATGTCATTCATAAAGTAAAGTATTACCTGTTTAGCTCTGGAAGTGGAATTTGCAACCAACATAGAGTTATCATCTTTACATTCCATTATCATACTTGAACAGTCTTTTCCAGAGAAGCACGGTTGACAGACACAATCATATTTATCAATATGATCCATGCACGTGCCACCGTTTCTATAAGGTAATTTTGCAACTCAATTTTAACAATTTTTTAAATATAAAATATAAATATATGTCATATATATATATCAAATGGAAATTTTAAGAAGCTGTTGAAATCATGTAATATGAATGTTTTAATTTAATAGAAACTTACTTGCATAAATTTGGTGTACATGCTGATTTTTTAATATCACAGTTCTTTCCAAAAAAACCTAGTGGACATCGACATTGATAATCGCCTTCAATATGATTTATGCAGCGACCACCATTTAAGCATGGCTTATTAACACACGTTTTTATTTTATCTTGACATAATGTGCCACTATAGCCATCCCGACATTGACATTTATAATTGTTCCCTTCATCAATGCACCGACCACCATTCAAACAAGGATTAGACTGCAAATTATTTGATCGTAATATTCGACAAATTGCGTTTACCAAGTGAACCAATTTTTTCCTAGCATCGAGATTTATAAGATTTATGTTAGCATGATGGAGAGGTAACTTGATGAAATATAAATATTTACTAACTAAGGTACATTCATTTGCATTCTCCTCGCAATTTTTTCCTTTGAAATCCACTGGACAGATACATTCATAATTTCCGTCCCATTTCTCCACACATTTTCCTCCTTTAAATAAAATTTGTTTATAGAACATTTATATTTGAAATATTTATGCGATTTCGAAACTCTTGATTTTATTAAGTCTAATCGTTATTTCCACAGATTTATCGAGTAAACTAAGAAAAATATTTCCTCGAGTTTGAGGTCGGCCTTGATCACTATATCAAATTTTTGCCATCGTATCGCTCATACGATTTTCAAAAAAATTGTGCAAACGTTAAGTACGAAGAAAGTATGGTAAGGCAAAGTAGATGTTACGATAGAAAAAATAGACAAAAGAAAGAAAAAAGTGCTGAAAAGAGGGAAAAGTACACAGTGGTCCCATTAAAACAAGGTTAATATGGTGATCATTATAGCTTCATATATTAAAGTTTTGAATCATATAACTATGACATACTGTCAATAGAATAAGGAAAAACATTTTATTTGTCAAATAATAAGATTAAGTTGCGATTAAAGAATAGAAGAGTTGAAAAGTTTGGTAAAATATTGACTAAAGTTGACAGTTCTTCTCCACTTCACCTCTCACAATCCATTCAGTTTCGATTCAAATTAGAAACCTCTTCAGCTTTGACAAATAAGATAAAATTCAGTTAGATCCAAACTTAAAGCAGTCAAACACATACCATTCCAACATGTGGTTCTATTGCATGGTCCCAGCTTTTTATCACAGTTGGCACCTCTCCATCCCGGCAAGCAGTGGCATTTAAAACCTCCACTAGTGGCTGAACAAAGGGCACCATTTTCACAAGGCCTGTCTTCGCACGATTTTGCAGTCATTTGACAATGTCGGCCAATATATCCAGCACGGCACTGACAGGTATAATTCCCTATGGTATCCTAGAACGATTTGCATGAAAAACTTCACATTTTGCTCAAAAAATATATATGCATTACCATTTCTTTTCCAGGAAGAAACAGATGAAAAATGGTAAATGGTAAAAAATAACTAATGATTCGATGGTTAAACAGAAATTTTATTGTGATGGAAATAAGAATCTAAGGACGAACTTTGCACAAACCATCATTAAGGCACGGTTTTGAACTGCAGTTCAAAATTAGAGATTCGCAGTTGATTCCCGTAAAGCCTTCAATGCAACTGCATGTATAGTGACCATGTCCTGTATTACTACAGGTGGCTCCGTTTTTGCAAGGACCATGAGTTGTACAGTAATTTAGATCTAAAAAATGCTAACTCTTTCTCCAAAATGTTCACGTTTTTCTTCAAAAAATAACACATCATAAAAATCGAAATCAAAGATAAAACTTGACATTACTGAACGGTTCTAATGACTTTTCTATTTCTAATAAAAGCACAACAAAATAAAAAAGAATTACCTTCATTACAGAAATGACCACCCCATCCTTCATAGCAAATACATTGATTTGGCTTTATACATGTCCCATGTTTGCAACCCGGATATGGAATACACTAAATTAAAAGAGGAAGTCAATGTAATTTTCGGAGCATTTTTCTTTTTCTTATAGTTAAAAACAATATATGATGCACTTTCTGGAGACATTTTGTGTCATATTATTGTTGCTTGGAAAAATGAATGAGATTTTTTCAACCTTCAATGAGATACACAGTTTTTATCAAGCGAAGAAATTAGAACACAGTTTTTTTTCGCAATAAAGTCACAACAGATAGCTTGCAAATATACCTGATCGCATTTTGCACCTGTCCATCCAGGTTTACACCGACACGAATCTGGCTGTTCGCAATGGCCATTTAAACAACCTTCACATCGCGCTGAAGCTTGAAAAACATCTTTAGTTCACCTCTACAAGTGAAAATATTGAAAAATATATTATGCCACTTGATAAAAGCAGTTAATCGATTTATCCATTATAAATCCATTATCCATTATAAAGAATATTTTATTAAATATTTAAATCGATAGTGATCCTTTCTAACAAAATCAACTGGAATCCGAGAAAAAAATCCCAGTCATTTTTCAGATCCTTTAATGACCCTTGTTTATGTTATACTAATTGAAAGCACAAAGGACCTCATAAAAAACAGAATTAATTTTTCAACTAACTATATAGTTGAAAAAGAACATTAGAATTATGGATAGACACAAAATGACCACAAATGACCATCCAATGAAAAGTGGCGCCGGCAAGCAAATAAAATTTTTAAATAGTTAACATATGTAACTGGCAAAAACAGTTTCAACGGGAAGGTATTTTAAAATCTGGTTTGAATCTGGTATTTTTAAAACTATCCACTTTTAGCCTAAAATTTTTATAATTTTGCACAATCTAGAAGCATAAGAAGGAATAAGTTAAAAGATCTCTGTAAAAAAGATAAATAAAAGATCCAATTTATCGGAATTTGATTATCTAGGCACAAACGTGTATTTTTTACATGCAGATCTCAACAATGGATTTTCCATTATCTAAACTCGCTCACGGAAATTCTTTTTCGTCGAATGAAATGTAAAGAAGACTGCTGAAGATAATGCGAATGATAGATAAAGTGATTGAGCTACACAATTTGGATAAATCGCTCACCTAAGTCAGTTTAAACAAACCTTCATGTGTTATTAGTTTCATGTTTTGTTTTATTTATTGAATTTCATTTTCAATTTGAGTTTCTCTAAATGTAATTTTAAAAAAGTTTAGAAACATTTAAAAATCATCTTTTTAAATAGAAATTCATTCCTTAACAATGGATGAAAGAAAATGGCAAAGAAAAATTCAAGCAGATGGTATTTTTAGAAAAACTACGTTTAGATGATATTTGAAAAGGTCAAAGAAATATAATTGATGTCGACCTTCGACATTTGAACTTAATTACGAATTATTGACACCATACGCTTGGATTCTAAAGGATGCATTAGAAGCAGGAAATGATTTTTAAAGAGAAGAAATTAAGCAAAAAATGAATTTTGAAGCGACCATTTCATTTGCAAACCTTCTATACTTACATTGCAGAGTATTTCTGTAAATTATGAAACTGAAAATTATGAAAAAGCGATAAATGATGCAGTAAATGAAGAAAGAATACCCTAAACACTAGTCGAAAACACTTAAGTGCTAGAGTTCTTCACTATTCCACAGATATAATCTACTATTATTTGGTTATCAAATGAATGGTGTGAAAATCGAGCTTATTATGACATAATCCAATAAATAGCATCAGTGCTTAACGATAATAGCATATGTGAGAAGTTGAAAAAGTTGAAGAGATTCATCAATGGAGCAAGAAATCATATTACCGTGGGAATGGATTTAGTGAAAATGAGGTAAATGATCTCGAACAAAAGCGGAATTACAGTAAGAAAATAAATTCACTAAATCAGACATAATGAAATGAATAGTTGATAAAATCATCCATACTATTTAAAAAATCATGGACAATTTTAAGTCTCTTTAACACAGAAAAACTTTCAGATAGAAATTAATTAATTACTCTTTTAATTACTCTTTGAAAAATCTACTGAAAAATCAAAATAAAGAATACAAAAAGAATCTACCGATATTACAATTCTGTCCATGCCATCCAAATTCACAAGCTACTGATCCATCGCTCAAACATTTGATTTGTTTAGACGGTGTGCATGTTTTTCCACACCGAGGTCCATAATAGTTTTCATCACAAATTATTCGATAAGCAATCCGAAAACTGTCGCCATTTTTCCTATTGAAAACTTCTTCTATCCACTGATTACCTGATGATATTTTTTCTCTCTGGAAGGCATTGTAGAATAACATTCCTTTTGTTGCTGAAAACATTAAATATTGAATAAAATCACTGGGCGACACTGTTGCGCACGTGAGAGCTTTGTAGCGATGTCTATAAGGCCTGTAGGACGAGCTTAAGCAAACTTTGCGCCAACCCTTTTCTTTCAATTTTTTGTAGTTTAATTAATGAAAAGATCGCTAAAATTGAATGAAAAAGCAGAAAACTCCACGATTCTTTTGCACTTTCGCTGTTTTCAAAATTACCTTCGCCTTATAATTTTTCTATTTTCAAGGGACAGTAAATCAGATCAAGATTCAGCCACCAGTAGGGAGCAAAACTAGATTTTTTATATAATGAAGCACATGACACATGCAATGAAGCGCAATAGAAATTAGTAATATTACTCTCACAGTGGGCACAAGTTCTAAATGATGCCGCTTATAGATAAGGATTACGTGTAGCGAATATACCTTAAGGATTTTCATTAACTTTACTCTCTGCATTTTACAAACAACTGATATTAATATATCAGAAAAAAGCCTTGAAAAAATTTACAAAATGCTTATCGAATCCATGATTCTTATTATATGAGTTATTATATTTATAATCTTTCATTCATTTTTTGTCACAAAATTCATGTATGTTTTGCGATAGAAACTTTCAGGAAGAGTAATTTGAATAAAACAATCGAAAAGTCGGCGATTTTAGAGAGAAAAGCAAAATTCTCTCATTATCTCGAAGATCCTTTCATTAGCAATATTTTGATACATGACCTTGACGAGATGAACAAGAACATGAAGAATCTTGATGGTAAAGTAATGGAAAAAACTCACTTTTGTTTTTAACCTCCCATGCTTCGGTAATCAAAGTGAACGATTCCTGAAATATATTTTTTTAAAATCTGTCTTCATTCAGTGAATAAGAGAAATTTAATTTAAACTAATCGTTATGCACTAATTGCTTACTTTTGAGCGCAATAAGGAGAAGTGAAACCATCTGTTAATTAATTCAAGAGAATTAACTGGTAATAAGAAGTTGTCTCTAGCACCATCTTGATTTTACTTCGTTTCTGTCAAGATGAGGGGACCGGACCAAATATGCTCAAAACCCTCCAATTACCATTTATTCATCAGTGAGAAACAAAAAAAGCACCGATTCTAATTTGAAAATTGTTAAATTGATGTTCAGCCCACGTATTCAGTTTTGAAAAATGCCTCGCCCTGAAATGAAAAACCCCCTTCTGAGCTTAGCATTTTTCTTTTGTCTAAACCTTTACTTCGCCTTTACGACGTGTTCTATAGCATCCATTTCTCAGACAGCGTGAGAAAGAACCTTCGACAAACCAATAAATGTACCAGATTTATCATATTTTTTTTAAGCCTCAAATAGTTTTCAGATGAGTTTAGTTTAATTTTCTCATTTGCCGACATGTTCGTAAATCTTACAATGGAAAAACAATACACTGGAAATTACGCCTTGAACAAATTAAGCCAGTTATTGTCACGCGTATTATTGCCAATTAATTACCAATTTAAAATCATTTCTATCATTAATGGACAATAGAATTCATACATTTTATTCGATGTAATTGTCATTTTATTGTTATTGATATTATTATTATTACCATCATAAAAATTTGTGACAAACGGGTCGAGAAACTTGGAAATGCTTTACTTTTGCAGTGGAATTAATCTAACTAATAATAGTGTATGCTAATGAGTGCTTACAGAGACTATTATAGCAATTAATACGAAATAATCGCAAGTACCAAATAGGATGCATAAGTTAGCAAAAAAGCAGTTTCCGATGCAAAATAATTTTATCACCAAAGCTTTTTTAAAATTTCTGATTCAAAGCACCTAACATGATTAACATTACAATTCACAATACTTCTGAACTCAGTAGGCTACCAAATTTACATTTAGATAAAAAGCGGAACCACTCACTATTTTTGGAAGAACTTGACAAATTTCAATATATTGTAATTATACTACTCTCGGCAGATTTCAATAAACTATAATTTTGTTTAAGAAAATTTCAATGGAATGAAAATTACTGAATTTAAATTTATTAATAACCTTCAGTGAATATTTATTATTTCCGTACCTATTTTTTCATTTAAACTTGTTGAATTTACTTTCGGGAAATGTTGATTAGAAAGGATAAATGAATATTATAAGAAAATAATTAGATTAATTTTTTTATATGTAGATAGCAATGATGCCACTGAAAAATATTGGAATAGAATCTGTTATTTCAACAAATAAAGCTGAAAAATTTACCGTCCACGTAAAGTTCAATTTGATCTGCGAACCTCTTCTAAATATATTAGCATCTACTATAATTTTACCGTAAGCACAATCACCATTGTGATTGATAAGGCGCTCAAAATTTTTCAAGCATATGTGAAATTCAGGATGAAATTGCTCGTTTCCATTCAATGTTAATGAGATTAATTTTATTTCAAAAAAACCATTGCAATTGCACTGAAATAAAAGAAGTTAGACTGAAATTAGGAATATGGAATAGTTCAACCCATTTAAAATATTTTTATTATATGAAATTCTTTGAATTTCTCATTTCAAGCTTTCAAGACATAGTCATAATAGTGACGAAATACTGCTGAATAAAGCCATAATTAGCGACTGCGACACAATCACCGCATCAAAATATGTAACTGCGGAACATTTTAAGCTTTTGAACAAATAAGCATACCAGAAGCAAATTAATTGTATATGTGGAAATATGATGATAATACAGAATAAACCAAAAAAACTAATAAAAATTACAAGAAATTCGAGTGTATTGAAACCAACCAAATGAAGAATTGAGCAGCCCATAACAATATGAAACACAATTAATAAGGTGCTAATCTGCATTGCTTAAAAATGCTTATCGTAGGTGAATAGTAATAATGGGAATTCCCGAATTCCCGAATTTATTTGATGCAAAATAAATCAATGATGAATTATAGTGAATCTTTTTCTTGCCGATCCCATTAATAACTGCAAATAGAATAACAGATCGCTAATTTTTCGGGTTTCATGAACAATCCAACAAATGACCAAAACCACTGGAAATAGTATAGAAATTACTGATTTACACGAAGAAAATGTGATAAAACAATAAAGACGACTTTTCATAAATCAAATCAAAAGAAATAGAAGATAAAAAAAACCAACTTCTGACCCTTCTAGAAAACGATTAGCTTAATTAAGAGAATGTAATATGTGACACCACGATTCACTTAAGCGAAGCAACGAAGAATAATAATAAATTTGCAATTATTTAAATCCAGAAAAAGAATGCAAATACAATCTGCTATACTCAATATACCACAACCCAAGTGCAGATATTTTATACTAATGAGAGCAATACCGGGTGATGGTGATGCGACTCACCTCTATTAGGGACTCCCTGGCATATTTGTCCAATGCGAGAAGCCAGCGCAGCAAGTATAACCAGTAATGGTGAGGACTCTTAAAAAAATGAGAGAAAAAAATTATAATTGACTTATCTACAGACTCGAAATTGGGCCAGAAATATGACCAAAATGTTCCTTATTCTTCTAATTGCTAGAAATATTTTTGTTGCTTATTAGATCGCAATATGACAACCAAGTATCATTACGTTAATTGTTTTAATGGTAAACAAGATTATAATTATATGAACCGTTGAGTAAATGAGCAAAAAATGAGAGCATCCAAGAAATAATTCAACTTAAAAGAGATGATAAAAATCTCTATTACCGAAAATTTAGCACTTACATTGTTATCGAAAATATCCTAACATCCCTAAAATTTTTAGTATCCATACAGCTCATCGTTAATTGATCACCACAGACTGAATTAACTTCCTCATTTTCATATAAAAACCTCTCCTTTTCTTTGTTTAGCTACTTCCTTTCAAATACTAGCAAATGAAAATGTGTAAAAGATTGACGAAAATAAGCATTTTCCAACAATACTTGAAATAAAGAAGAGTTGGATCGATCTAATATGTATTTCGATATAGAGTAATTATGACAGAAATAAAGCATTTGCCTGCGGTAATCACCTGTTGACCACTAATAAAGTTGGAGAATATTCAATTGGTGAACAAATATAAAACGAACTCATAAAATATAGCCATGTGTCACAATTGGTGAACAGTGAATTGCTAAGGTCTATCCTCTTTCCAAATCAAATAACCAATCATGTTGCCTACAACGCCTTCTCAGTGGAAACCACGCCTGTTGGACTCTTGTATGGTCAGCAACAGATGGTCAACGATAGACCAGCGGAAATATGTATGACAATGAAAACAGCAGCAAATGTTTGAAATTGAACTTCAACTGTAAACTGTGCATGGCACAAACAAAGGTAATGAGGCGAAAAGATTCAGTAGTCTTTTCAGTAAGCAATAAAAAGATGAAGAAAAAGCAAAGAGCCTATCCTTGTAGTAAGTGTGGTTAATTCTAAACATCTCCGTTTAGGAGCGCTACATCGACAGTTAGTAAGATAAGAAATTTTTGCCTGGGGTCAGTTGGAGGTAAAAGTGCAGATGGACCCTTAGCACCGCTCGAATTTTTTAAGAGCAAGTCTTATCCGTTGCAGTTTGTTATTAGTGTTAATATTATTTATTTTTTAAATCTTTACAAATATTAATTACCAAAATTATAAGCACAAGTTCACTTAAAATATAACAAAATAGTTCATTCACAAAAATGTCGACAAAATGTCATTATTATTGTAATTTGTTGGACAAATAATCTGCGATTTGAAATTTTTTTTCAGAGTTCTCACCATCACTAGTTAAACTCGCTCCACTGGGTTGCAGCTTTGGGCAATATGCCAGGGAGTTACTTGGCGATAGAAACACAGGTGAATCGCCAGCAACACCCGGATTTTTGTACAGGTCTAGTCCTGCAGGGAATCGAACCTCAGCATCGGCGTTCCCAATTGAGCAATAACCCACTATTCTATTCCCCAATTTGCAATTTATAACAATAATATTGCAATCAAATTTGTTTTAGGACATAATTTCTTTTTTCTTCGTTTAAATTAGGTTCGAAAGTAAAATTTTTTCTTTTTTTCCCCCCTTTATTCAAACTGGTTTCATTTTTAACTTAAGCACCTCAAAAATCAAAAATTGAATAAGGAATAAGCAAACCTAGTAAAAAATCTAAATTGGGGCGAATATCTTTTGCATCTTTAATCAACATCATGTTTTAGAATTTTGGCCTTGAAGATAGAACAACTTTAAAGCAAATGTTTAAAAAAAGATGATTGCAGCTGAAATATTGCAAATCACAAACTACCACTCAGAATTCTCGATAACATTAGATTATAATACACCAATATTTTATCTTCCATAGATCGTTCATAAATCATTAAGAACCATAGCAAAGCGCCATTACTTTAAGAGATAATACAGTCATTAATTTACATAGAAGTCAAAAATAATGCAACCATGACGAAAGGAAATCATTTGTTAATCTATAGATTTAAGTCCACAAATCCATGGATTCAATCACGCTTATTGTATTTGCGACAATAAAATTCTAAGCTAAAGGTCGATTATACTGAAGGTTTTTCGTTATCAGCCAAGTCTAGAAACCAGAATTTATCGAATTTGGATTTTTAGAGCATGCAACGAACTGAAAACCAGAAAAAATAACAAGTAATAACAATTTCGAAAATTTGAAATTATATATATATATATATATATTTGAAGACGAGAAATGTTTTCATTGATGATGCTTACAGGCAAAGGGCAAACCACTTCATATTGAAGAGCAAGCTCAATAATAGGCGCGACTCTATTAATCTTCATAAGAAAATAAAACTATTAAGATTCGCACACAAAGTTAATTCTAAGATTTTCTAAAAGCTTTAAATCTATATAATCAACCACTTTTAACGAATAAGAAATATTAAACAACAAGCAAAAAATTGTGGAAAACCGAAAAACCTAAAAATAAAAATTGTATAAAATAAAGTTCTTATAAGAAAGATTTTGAGGAAATTTCATCGAAATTTCATATTTTTTTATAGAAATTTATAGAAAGTAGTAAAAAAAATCGTTGCTTTTCATCAAAATAATGAGATAAGAACTGGATAAACAAAAAATAAATCATTACAATAAATATATATAACTACTGAATGTAAATAGAGCACCAATCCTTTTGTAAGCATTAGAAGACCAGAAAATATCTTTAAAAACCATAGGACCATTAACATTGACGGCTAAGCAAATTGTAGCGTTTCTTCAAGTTAATAGCAGATACTTAATCCAATTCTTTTGTTATTTCTTCTTAAGAATCAAGCAGTCAATTAGTACCACAGGTTAATATACTATGAGAGAATTTTATAAGCACGAGGGAGACTTTTCATAAGAAAATGATGCATAATTATTCATCATTCAAGATTGAGAAAACTATTCTTGAGAAAATGTAAATGGTTATAACAATAACCATTATAACAATACTCAATAAAGATATGAAGTGGTAATCGAAATTGAAGATAGCTAACCATATAATTCAGTGCCACACTTGATACCGTCGATTCGTTGGGTAATAAATCCCAACAAAGCCGCTTTCATCAAATTATTTTATCTACCGATAAGTATTTATTAGATTAATACGGGAAATAAAATCGAACAGCTGCTCGGCATTTTTGATCATAGGCAAACAAGCATTTAATGGATTAAGCAGACCGTGTCGACTTGTAGGATCTGTTTGAACTGATATGCCTTCTTTTCTAACAGCTTGCATCATTATTGGTTAGGCTGATTCGTATAAATTTCATTACAAGAGTGGGACATTTCCAGGTATCACGATCTAGTGTCAAATTTGAAAGTAGAATCCACTGTCTTTTCCATAACTTAAGCTTTCATATCACAGTACTGTTTATACGAATATTTTCAATCATCCTTTAGATAAATCATGCAAAAATTAACATTTTGCCAAACATTTGGTCATTTTTCACCTGCCAGCATAAGATATTCAAGGGAAATAAATGAAATAAACCATATTTAAGAGCAAAAAAACTGGTTTATTTATAAACTTTAATAAGAAAATTAAACTGAATCCGATTCAAATAAATTAACTGATAATAGTGTAATAATATAATTAATCCAAAATAAAAGTATCATTGATTATTCAACCGAAAGCTTGATTGACTAAACAATATAATTCAAATCAATATCGATTTACATGACAACTAATCTGACTTATCTGGTGATCAGGTAGCAAAAGGCTATCATTTTTGCGAACAAACAAGATTTAATAAAGATACAAGATGGACCGGAGACACCATAAAGATCTAATAAGGATTAGATATGGGATAATTCAAACGAGCTAAGATTATGAGATCTCCCTATATTATTGAAAATAATTAAATGCAAGTATGAAACAAAATAAGGTGATTATTAAATTTTTAATTACTGTTACTTTGATTGAGGATATTTAAATCTAAATTTAAAAAATTCTATTCCTAATATTTCTTTAACATATGCGTTGTTAAGCATTTACTAATGGGGAAGTTGGTCAAGTGATATGTTGCTTCGAAGTCATGCTCCATGATATCGATTCCTGCCTCTTAACAAGGAAAAATCTGTTGTTAAAAGGTTAAAAGTAAAATTCAGATGTCCAATGAGTTAAGATTATGAGGCAGGAGATCTCCCTAAATTATTGAATCTGAGATTATGAGATGTGGATCAATTTGTGTGCAAATTCCTGTGTAACGAAGTTATCCACTACTAGAGTTATCTACTATCAGTCTAGTCTAGCCAACCAAATCAGAAATTTTGAGCAGCTTATTTAACAGAAAGGGAATGAGAGGATACCATCTACTATGACTCCTTTTTAATCTTGGCCATTCACCTGACTCCATAAATA